CTACGAGGAGGTCGTAAGTTGGGTGTCTGGTTGGTGTGCTTTAAAAGGCGAATAATTTTATTGGCGTGGTATCCACAAATTGCCAGAAAGGTGGTCAAAATGTGTAGCAAACAGTGGCCAATACTTTGAATAAAATGTTTTTTACTTTCCCATTAATAATTAGTGTTTTATGTTCACAAAAAAACGCTATGGTAGCTATTTGATATTGTTGACCGATATTAATTTAATTAAAAACTGAAGGACTAGTTAGAAGAAACGGACAGACGGACATGGCTAGATCGATTTTTGATTTTTTTTGGAGCTATATGATATATTTATATATATATATATACCCTCTGCAAGGGTATAAAAATGTCTGAGTAATGTCATTTATGTATAGCAATAAGAGCAAACTAGTATTGCCATGTACTTAAGAAAATTATTTTAGGACCCTTTACAGCAAATAAGTTTTTGGAATTTTACCTGTTTCCCAACAAACCCAGCTGATTCTAATGAACTCTCAAATGCTGTCAATGCAGTTAAGTATAATCAGCAAATTTTTAAAAATGTTAATACAACTTTTTTTTTTGTCGATTGTTGATATGGCAGCTATATGGCCTATACAGCCTTAACTTTTCGATTTATAAACTATCTGCAATTTAAAGAAGACATTTGGGAAGGTTTCATCCAGAATTATTATTCTAAGTTTAGGAGATTGCTGAAATCCTAAAAGATTTGTTTACTTTCCTGTCCGAAAAGAAGGTACATTTCTAATAATTTGAAATTATAATCGAAAAAATTAATTTTGAATTTAAAACGCCGTTTGTACTTAAGAAATTTTTTTCTTACTATAAAAATAAATAAAATATATTCGGTTTAAGAAACAGACAGACCGGAATGTCTATATGGATATGAATTGTGAAGAATAATATTTAGTGTCTAAAATGCAAATTTGTAACCTTTAATTTGTATCTGTTTATTATTGGTTTAATGTTTTATAAACCCTGTTTCTATTTTTGATGTCAATTTGGCTCAATTTTTATAATCAATATGATATGCCCACAGACAAATCTATTTCGTTTTGATAAAAAAAATATTTTTTATTTTATATAACATTGCTTTCGAGTCTAGTTTTTTATGTAATATTTTATTTTCTTCCAAAATTTTTATCTTTAAAATTTTTTTTATTAAACATTATTATTCTTATTCTTATTCTTATTATTATTATTATTTTATATAATTTGATCTGTCAAAGTATTACAAATTAAAGAAAAAAAGCATTATCGATATTTAGGTATAAATAATGTACTCGTTAAAATTTGGTAATATAAATTATATGGGCTAGATATATTGAATTCACCAAACATCGGATTTTTGTATTCTTAGCATCTCTGCGGAACTTTTGTGTGTATGTAAAGCAAATATCATGGAAAAGAATTCGATTCCAGTGATTTTTAAAATTTTAGGTTCAAATATTAAATTAAAATGCAAAGGGGTGTTGTACAGAAGGTTTTTAGAAAAAACAAAAGTACCTTTTGAAAAAAGCGTACAAATAACAAGAAAGGAAGTAAACTTCGGCAAGCCGAAGTCTATATACACTCATACCAAAATTAACCCTAAAAACAAGAAATTCGCCTTATTTTTGACTTCAAAGGCATCGCACCATAAATTGTAGGGTAAATTTTTCTAAAATTAAGGGCGTTCCTTTCTAAAATTTAAGGCAAAGAGCCCTAAAAACAAGAAAAACTTTTCTAAAAAATAGAAAAATATTTCTTAAAAGTAGGATATTTTTTCTAAAAATTAGAAAAAATGTGCCTCATGATGTAATTATTCATTCAGGATTTATGGACTTATGTATATGTATATATATATGTACATATATGATTTAAGCACTTTGCTTTTCATTCAGAAAAGTTTGTATTAGTATTGCTCTAATGAATTGCCAATATCGATTTCAACTGTAATTCTGTGGGAAAGAGAGAGAGAAATTAGTACAATTATGACTTATTTCAGTTCTTACAAGTAAAATCCGATATGTATCTTATCCGAAAAAACTTTTAATTTTATTGGTCCGTCGGTGGGATTCGAACCCAGGTCTCCCGCGCGTGAGTTCAAAGACATTGAATATAGCCACGGTCGCGCGCGAAGAGCGCATGGCAAACCAAAGACTATATGATGGGGCGTTTGCGAAGAATATTAGGTTAAAAAAGTTTTTAGAACTCGTTAAGTCGCAACTGTGAAAGTCCAAATATTTAAAATAAATTTTCTAAGATGATATTTCATATGACAAAAAATATTTTAATTTCTTTTCCATAAAGGGTAAAACCTTTAGTCGTTCTAAGCATTACTTCTCATCTGTGTTTATAACACAAGTAAAAAAAAGGAAAAAGAAAGATGTCGGCAGCTGAAATTGAACTTGCGGTGCTTAGATTTCTGGTCAGACGTTCTAACCCCCTAGGCTACTCAGACAGGGTTAGAACAATTTTATGGTCATTTTAGAAAATGTTTCCTATGTTATAGAAAATATTTCTATATTTTGGGATTAATTTCTATTTTTTAGAAAATATTTCTATATTTAAGAAAATATTTCTATATTCAAGAAAATATTTCTATATTTAAGAAAATATTTCTATATTTAAGAAAGCGTTTCTATTTTTTAGGGTTATCGTATTTTTAAGGTTAATTTGAGAAAATTTTTCTATTTTTTAGGGTAAATAATTTTTTAGGGCAGAATTTCTAATTTGAAGAAAAAAATTTATAAAAATAAGTACCATTTTTACTAAAATATAGAAATTCTTTCTTGGATTTAGGGTGAGTTCAGTTTATGGCGACAATTTCTACATTTGAGAAACACTTTCTTGATTTAAGAAAAGTTTTCTTGTTTTGAGAAAAAAATTTCTTGAAAATAGAAATCTTTTCTTGGATTTAGAAAAAATAAAGTTTTAGGGCGAATTTCTAAAATTTAGGGTTAATTTTGCTATGAGTGTACCCTTGCAGTTATTACAAAACGACTACATTTCGATTTCTATGCCTTATTACCAAAAATAATGAAGCTATGTCGATTTTTAGTTGCTTTGTGATATTGTTGTTCGATTTTGACAGAACTAAAAGGGTAATTTTTAAATAGTAAAAAAATTACTATATGTAAAAGGAATATTTAAATAATTAGAAAAACAGCCAAAATTTTTTTTTTAATCTTTTGATTTTTCTATGGGAGCTATATGATATAGATGTCCGTTTTTAATTTAATTAAAACCGCAATTCTATAGTACTTAAATACTACCAAATACAAAGAAGAAAAAAAAAATAAAAACAAGAAAGGAAAGCTAACTTCGGGCGGAGCCGAAGTTGATATACCCTTGCAGAATATTCTGTAAATTATATTCTCCAAAATTATTCATAGTATGCATTCTTAATACTCATAAAAAGTCCCAACTTCCTAACTTTAAAAACACCAAAGTTATGACATTTCCAATCGTTCAGTTATATGGCAGCTATAGGATATAGTCGGCCGATCCTTATGAAATTTGGTAGGTCGGATTGATTGGCCAAATATAAAACCCATAGAAAATCCCAACTTCCTAACTTTACAAACACGAAAGTTATGGCATTTCCGATCAATCAGTTATATGGCAGCTATAGGATATAGTCGGCCGATCCCGGTCGTTCCGACTTATATACTGCGTGCAAAGGAAAGAAGGGTGTGTGCAAAGTTTCAATCCGATAGCTTTAAAACTGAGAGACTAGTTTGCGTAGAAACAGACAGACGGACAGACGGACAGACGGACATGGCTATATCAACTCAGGAGGTCATCCTGATCAAGAATATATATACTTTATAGGGTCGGAGATGTCTCCTTCACTGCGTTGCACACTTTTGACCAAAATTATAATACCCTCTGCAAGGGTATAAAAACAACATCCGATCAACCGAAAAAACATCAAAGTTATAATTTTTATACCCTTGCAGAGGGTATTATAATTTTGGTCAAAAGTGTGCAACGCAGTGAAGGAGACATCTCCGACCCTATAAAGTATATATATTCTTGATCAGGATGACCTCCTGAGTTGATATAGCCATGTCCGTCTGTCCGTCTGTCCGTCTGTCCGTCTGTCCGTCTGTCTGTTTCTACGCAAACTAGTCTCTCAGTTTTAAAGCTATCGGATTGAAACTTTGCACACACCCTTCTTTCCTTTGCACGCAGTATATAAGTCGGAACGGCCGGGATCGGCCGACTATATCCCATAGCTGCCATATAACTGATTGATCGGAAATGCCATAACTTTCGTGTTTGTAAAGTTAGGAAGTTGGGATTTTCTATGGGTTTTATATTTGGCCAATCAATCCGACCTACCAAATTTCATAAGGATCGGCCGACTATATCCTATAGCTGCCATATAACTGATTGATCGGAAATGCCATAACTTTGGTGTTTGTTAAGTTAGGAAGTTGGGATTTTCTATGGATTTTATTTTTGGCCAATCAATCCGACCTACCAAATTTCATAAGGATCGGCCGACTATATCCTATAGCTGCCATATAACTGATTGATCGGAAATGCCATAACTTTGGTGTTTGTAAAGTTAGGAAGTTGGGATTTTCTATGGATTTTATTTTTGGCCAATCAATCCGACCTATCAAATTTCATAAGGATCGGCCGACTATATCCTATAGCTGCCATATAACTGAACGATTGGAAATGCCATAACTTTGTTGTTGTTAAAGTTAGGAAGTTCGGATTTTTTATGAGTATTAAGAATGCATCATATGAATAATTTTGGAGAATATAATTTACAGAGTATTCTGCAAGGGTATATTAACTTCGGCTCCGCCCGAAGTTAGCTTTCCTTTCTTGTTTAAATTTTGTTTTCCGATTGTTCTTTGGGACTAGCTTGCGTAGAAAGGGACGACGGACAGACGGACTTCACCCCGCTGCAAACTTGTGACTGAAATTATAATACCCTCTGCAAGGGCATAAAAACTGGTCAGAATCGTATATTCAAATTTATAAAATACGTACGTGATTTGACCTTTGGGAAGTTTGACTGTTTTCCATTCCGTTGAAGGGAGCCACAGACACAGGAGTCATTTTAACACTTTCAGCTAAAGCCATTTAAATAGACTGCTGAAAATATTTTTCATAAACATTGTTTTGATTTTTGTTATTAATTAGGTTAGCATAAAGGCTTACTTAAAACCATTAAAATATTTTTGTCAAGTTTTAAGCTAGATTTATATTACAGTAATTAATTTTATAAGCTCTTGCAATGCTTTTATTGAGACATTCCCGACATATATCATTACTAACAAAAAAGAAAGCAAACTTTATATACCCTTGCAGTTATTGCAAACCGACTACATTTCGATTTTTACTAAAAATTATAATACCCTCTGCAGGGGTATAAAAACAATGAAGTTTTGTCGATTTTACGCTGCGTTTAATCGTTTTTATTTAATTTATTTAAAACCGTACTTCCGTAGTATTTAGTCCCATAAAAATACCTCTCCTGGTGATGCTGATCAAGAATATATAATATATACTTTATACGGTCGGAAATGTCTCCTTCACTGCGTTGCAAACTTTTGACTGAAATTTGAATACCCTCTGCAAGGGTATAATAAAATGCATTTGACATTTTCTATAATTTTGACGAAACCAAAAGCGTAAAAAGCCAATTATCTTCAAAAACACCGAAATTATGCAACTTTCCTGTTGGATTTATACCTAAAGTTGTTCCGACCAAATCGTTGCCAATTCCAACTTCCCACCACAATATTTTGAAATCAATAAGTTTTGCCGTTATTGCTCAAAAAATATATACTTATATTAACTTTTACTACAAATTTATTCCATGAAAATTGGAATCAGACATTTGCTCACTCCCAACGTGAAAACTCCCTCATTCAATTATAGAATGCGTGTGAATAGCATAATTGAAAAGGAGCCTGCCCCTAGAGACCATTTCGTTAGAGATAATAAGGTTAGCAAAAAAGTTATAAAGTACAGATTGTTAGGCTTAATGCCTTTGTTACTGCATGCCCACGCTTAAATTGCAAACGGGAAGCGAAACAAATGATTACGAGACTCCTTAACTTGTGAGGGGAGTCGAGGGTTGAACGAATTACAAACCAGTGAGGTAAATAATGACAAAATTATGTTAGTATTTAGAAAAACGCCAGATTGTTAACAATCTGGCAGATGTACATAGACAATCGCTCGAAAAGTTGTAAGCTGGGACGAGTGCCTTTGGTTAACGCATTGAAGGCAGGGTTGTTTGCAAATGCGAGATCAAACTTGTAACACGTAAGTCACAAACTTTGTATACATTTATTTATTTTAATATTAGACATCATTCATTTATTATACCCTTGCAGAGGGTATTATAATTTTGGTCAAAAGTGTGCAACGCAGTAAAGGAGACATCTCCGACCCTATAAAGTATATATATTCTTGATCAGGATCACCTCCTGAGTTGATATAAGCATGTCCGTCTGTCCGTCTGTCTGTCCGTCTGTCTGTCCGTCTGTCTGTCCGTCTGTCTGTTTCTACGCGAACTAGTCTCTCAGTTTTAAAGATATCGAATTGAAACTTTGCACACACCCTTCTTTCCTTTGCACGCAGTATATAAGTCGGAACGGCCGGGATCGGACGACTATATCCTATAGCTGTCATATAACTGAACGATCGGAAATGCCATAACTTTGGTGTTTGTAAAGTTAGGAAGTTGAGATTTTCTATAGGTTTTATTTTTGGCCAATCAATCTGACCTACCGAATTTTATGAGAATCGGCCGACTATATCTTATAGCTGCCATATAACTGAACGATCGGAAATGCCATAACTTTGGTGTTTGTTAAGTTAGGAAGTTGGGATTTTCTATGGGTTTTATTTTTAGCCAATCAATCCGACCTATCAAATTTCATAAGGATCGGCCGACTATATCCTATAGCTGCCATATAACTGAACGATTGGAAATGCCATAACTTTGGTGTTTTTAAAGTTAGGAAGTTGGGATTTTTGATGAGTATTAAGAATGCATCATATGAATAATTTTGGAGAATATAATTTACAGAGTATTCTGCAAGGGTATATCAACTTCGGCTCCGCCCGAAGTTAGCTTTCCATTCTTGTTTTTTATTTATTTATTATTAAAGATAGAAAAGTTTACAAAACTAGACTAACTTAGTTGGTAAAGCGCTAGCAACAAGGCCTTCGGCTTTTAGGATAATGATATGATATCTATTTATTAGTGTATTTAATAGTAATTTTTAGTAATTTTTAATTAGTAATTTTTGTAATATCTGTACATTTTTGGTTACGTTTTATATTTTGTGATACAGGTTTGAGATTTTTAAGAAAGCTAAGATTTTTTCTAAATTATCTGGGTTGAGGTCGTTGAGGAGATTTTTTGGGCTTGTGTTTTTGAAAATGGATAGTTTGGTGGATAGGAGTGATGGACATGAGTTTAGTAGGTGGGATATGGTGTCATCATTTATTTATGCATAAGCAATCCTATATCTTTTTTTGAATAAAGGCCCAATGACTTTAATAATTTAATATTATATGATATGGAAACAATATTCGGCACAATTTGGAAATTTTATATAAATGTACTGCGTACATAAATTGAATAAAAATGTTTCTAGCCAAATGGTGGAATTGTTTCAGTTTTAAATAAAATAATTGCGATAATAATATTTAATTTAAAGTTTTAATTTTAAGATTTCAATAGAAACCTATAATACTCGCAGTTAATTTTAACTGCCTGCCTTATTCGCATAACGCTAAACGATAGCTTTTACTTGTATACTTGTATTAATATATATAGGTAATCCCTTTTGCAAATAAAAGGATTAATTTTTTTACTGCATTTGAGTTTTTATTTCTCTTAACTTACATTTACTATTTTAAATATTTTGATAACCAACTAAGATTGTTATACATTGTGTCCCCATTTGTTTTATACATCAGATTTATTTATGGTCTCATGGACCATAGCTTAAAAATAAATCAATTGAAAAAGAAAGCACAGATTTATTGGTAAATATGGAAGAAGGTTATTTTAATCTGAAAACATGCTCAATTAAAGTAGTAAAGCCCATTTGCAACAGGAATTCAATTATCCCTAATTAATTTGAGTGCTTTGTTTACACAAGGAGTGCCTCATCCTTTCGCTTCTGTTGCTTGTCCAGGTTTCATATTTCAAATGGGAAGGTACACTCGTCATACAGTCCATACAATCCAATTGTACATATACGACGGCCTATTAAAATCGAAAACGATTGCGTTTCACAAGTCCCGGGGGTTGAATTCAGGAGCATATGCCTTTTGACGAACGCGGACACAAATGCAGATACTGGGGTAGATAAAAAATGGACTAAAATACCCACTGATGAGTTGGCAATAATTCGCTTGAGTGGTTACTGTCAACAGGCAAATAATAGGTGTTCTATTTGAGGGCGGGCAAACACAGCTTGTCGCTGCTGGTGCAAGTCCCTGTGATGGCCTTTTGTTTACACGTATAACATCATGCATATTTAATTGGGTTAAATTGCTAAGCGATTAACATTTGGAAATGAAATGTGCGGATAATTGAGTTTACCATCTCTAATTATTTTTGTTTGTGAGGCTAAGACGGCACTGAATCACCAAGTCACAAGCTATCAGTAAATTTTTGTAATTATTCAAACGTATCTTCAAAATTGTCCTTGTTGTTCCTAAAACACTATTATTAAATAATAATCGGACAACAATATCATATAAAGACCATATAACATGGAGGGAGTATTCTGATGGTACAGGTCTATATTTCCTGTTTTTTTTTTTTTTTTTTTTTTATGCAATTTTGAGATTGAAATAGAAATAATATAGTACTTTTAAAGGTTCATGCATATTATAGTTATAGTTCATGTTATTATAGTTACAATGATTTCAAGTAAGTATACTTGTAGTTACTGGTAATTCTATTAGGCTCAGATAGGTTTAGAAGACCCAGTAACTCGGGACTCTCCACATCCCCGTAAATAAGTTTACGAGGATGGTAGATTAACTAGGAGAAGTCTACTAAAGTAAGATGGCTAAATTAGCCTTGTATTCTATCCAACTCTATATGTACACCATATTGGGCACTCCAATTGGGACTAGTGTTCATCGAATTCCTTTGACCACCTATTTATAATTCCGAGCACTCCCCCATGGAAGTAATATGGTGACAAACCTTATGTTTTGGGTTCAGAAGAACGCCAAGGTCATCAACATGAGTGATTCTAGACTATGCACAACCACCCCGCATGTACGTGGCATATTGTGGGTTCACCCGAAAAAATGTAATTGCTTTTTTTTAGCGCTATTTAAAACTAAACAAGAAAAGAAAGCTCCGATTGTAAGTCTGAACTGCAGGAAATTTGTATGTTGCAGGCATAACTTAACGTCATGAGGACACTTAGAGGGAGATCGTTAATAAATAATGAAGTGGTCCAAGGTGGCTTCCTTGTGGGACGCCTGAAGTAGCTCGAATCAAATTGGCGATAGAGCTTTTAAAGAGGACTCCTTGAGTTCTACCACTTACATAACTTAAGATCCATGTTAGAAGATGGCATGAAAGTCCTAATAAGTCAAGCTTTAATACAAAAAGCGAGAGTTTTACGGAATCAAATGCTTTACTAAAATCATTGTAAGCTACGCCAGTCTGAAGCCATTTATTACAAAAGGCGTTAGCTCCAAAAGGTTTGACCTCTTCGCTTTATAAGTATTTGTTGATATGGAGATATAATTGATTTACAAAGATGATACAAGAAGGGTGTAACAACGTTTTCGAAAAGCTCTGGGATGGCGGACAACTTTGATATCCCTCTTAAATGACTTGTATTCGATTTATTTCCTTTCTTATGAAGGGGAATAACAAATTACTCCTTCCAAATAGGTGTAAAGTGAGAAGATTCCAAAAATAAGGTAAACACCGTCGGGACCCGGTGAATAGACTGGTTTAACTTAATGGAGATCCAAGAGAATGGAGCTTTCACTTAAACTTGGACAAAATTAAGTTTGAATTGGATATGACATAAGACATAAGACGAATTTGGACGGGATGAAACAGAAAACAGGGAAAAAGAATTTTATAATAA